GATTTTATTCACAATTCACAAAAGATCAATATCCTAGCAACACACAACAGCAGCAAACAAACCAAGAACAGCAAGTTGGCTCGGGAACTAGACGTGTTAAGAATCTTAGATAGAAGGGCGGCAATCAGAACACCAACAGAAACCAAGGCAAAGGTAGGCATGTCTCTGAGCAAACAATAGATCCAGAGTTGTCTGAACAAGGTAAAAATGTCGAAAAAAGTCTGCTCAAGGGCCGAGGGGGAGAGAACCCATAACCACAGCTAACTATGAACATGCAGTGATCAGAAGGAAACGAACTCAGTTTACAAATGGAAGATGAAAAGCCCAGGCCTCTGGACAATTCTGAGAAACTTGAGGTGGAAGATGGTCACAGCCGAGTAAGTCAGGCTGAGCAGCCGGGGCACTGGCAGCCCTCAGGGTTTAGGACTGACACCTCCAGTTCCTTGCTTGGCAATGACCGGATACTCACGGACAACTTTTTTCTTTTGTTCATAGCGATTTTATTTTATAAATAGCCCAAACCAGAAATACCCCAATGACCATTAACAGGTGAACAGAGAAATGAACTGACAACCTTTCTTAAATTTATTTTTACAGACAACCTCCTTCTCATAGGTAGCTCTAGAATATTTACAGCACAATAAATAGCTTCCATGTTGTGCAAAAGCCACCTAATGATATCAGGAATGAAGCTGCCTTTGTAGTGGGTAAGCCTGAGCATATTTATTTCTGCTTAGGTTAAACAATTAGAAATGGCATTATTAATAAATAGGATGGTTGGTCTTCCATTTGATTCTAGTTGATCCTTCCTATTGTCATGGCTGAAAGACACAATTTTCACTTCGTTCTTAAGAAGCTCTGAGTGATTTGATCCTTTTTTAAAAAAAAAAAAAAACAAAAACACCTAAGAGTATTGTGGAAACCCTGGGTGGCGCAGTGGTTAAGAACTCAGCTGCTACCCAAAAGGTCGGCAGTTCGAATTCACCAGGTGCTCCTTGGAAACCCTATGGGGCAGTTCTACTCTGTCCTTTAGGGTCGCTATGAGTCTGAATTGACTTGACAGCAATGGATTTTTTTGGTTTTGGGGGAGTATTGTATCCCTGGGTGGTGCAAACGGTTAATGTGCTCAGCTACTAGCCGAAAGGTTAGAGGTTTGAGTCCATCCAGAGGTGGCTTGAAAGAAAGGCCTAGCAATCTACTTCCAAAAAATCAGCCATTGAAAATCCTATGGAATACAGTTCTACTCTGACATACATGGGGTTGCCATGAGTCAGAGTCAACTTGACAGCAACAGGTTTTCTAAAGACTGTTGTGAGTTATAAATGGCATAACTACAAAAGTACTACCAAATGGCTGAGTGTACAGCAAAATAAGATTTTTAAATATTAAAATCTGAAGGAATAGTAACAAAAAATTAATATTCTTCCCTAAAATTACTCCCCTAAAAATGAGTTGTTTGCTCTATCAAACTAACAAAACTTGCCTAAATAATTTTATTTCCATTAGTTCTTTGTCTCAGTGGTATCACTCACTTGGTTATTTCTCATGCTTTTCTAAAGCAACTGATTTTCAATAAAAATGTGATTCAGAACACTGCCTTTGTATTCATCTCAGAGCCGCCATTTACTAAGAGACACTAGGTAACTTTCCTAACTTCTCTAAGCCTTAGCTTCCTCATTTTCCCACCTTCCCACCTTTGTGGTAAGAATTAAAAGCAGTAATCTTTGTGAAACAGCGTGGAGCCTAACAGCAGAAAACCTGACATGCAGCAAGTCTCAATAAACGAGAGTGATAATTATTAATGTATTCTAACATCCCAGTATCTAGATATGCAGAGAGAAATGACCACACACAGAACCTTCCTTGGGGTAGTATGTACAAAGCAATGTAAGTATTTTGAACACATGTTGTAGAGGATAGAAATCACTTCTGCTTGAGTAATCAAAGACAGTCGCAGGGAAAAGTAGGATATGAGACCAGACACTAATAAATGGGTCCCATTTGGACAGGTCAAGCTGGAGGATGGGGCAGAGGGATGAGTGTAAGAATGTGTGGAGGGTAAGAAACGTAAATACGATGCATTTCAGGGATATCAAAGAAGCATACTCCCAAATCCCACTCCTGGTTGCCCCTTGATTCCTGAAATTTCATCATTCTTTTCGTTTAAGGCCAAAACCAAAATCAAAAAAACCAGTTGCCGTTGCATCGATTCCCACTTAGAGTGACCCTAAAGGCCACAGCAGAACTGCCTCATAGGGTTTCCAAAGAGTGGCTGGTGGATTCAAACTGCTGACCTTTTCGTTAGCAGCTGTAGCTCTTGATTAGGTTTTGTTTTGTTTTGTTTTTTCCAGTTTAAGGCTAGGTACTCTTAAATGAAAACCCTCCTGGAAAAGCTAACACTTCAAGCTATAATTAGTCATTTGTACTGTAGTATGAGTAAGTATGATGAGTTAGCTGAACTCACGATTAAGGTCACAGTCCTCCACAAGACTGCCAGACTTTGGACACAGCCGTAAGCTCAGGGATTCTCAAGCCACCCTCACTTCTGAGCAGCTGGCTACAAATTTGAGGGTTCCTACTACCTTCTCAGGCTTGATAATTCACTAGAACGACTCAGAACTCAGGAAAGTGCTATACTTAATGATCACAGTTTTTCACTTGTGTTTTTTTTAGAAGAGAAAGAAAAGTTTTATTATTGAATAAGCATTAAACCAGAACGTGATGCATCATAGGTGTTATGGATTGAATTCTGTCCCCCCAAAATGTGTATCAACTTGGCTAGTCCATGATTACCAGTACTGTGTGGTTGCCCACAATTTTGTGATCTGATGTGATTATCCTATGTGTTGTAAATCCTACCTCTATGATGTTAATGAGGCAGGATTCCAGGCAGTTATGTTAATGAGGCAGGACTCAATCTACAAGATTAGGTTGTGTCTTGAGTCAATCTCTTTTGAGATATAGAAGAAAGAAGGGAGCAGAGAGATAGGAGGACCTTATATCACCAAGAAAGTAGTGCCAGGAACAGAGTGGGCCCTTTGGACCCGGTCCCTGCACTGAGACGCTCCTAGACCAGGGGAAGATTGATGACAAGGACCTTCCACCAGAGCAGATGGAGAGAAAAAGACTTCCCCTGGAGCTGGTGAGACAGATAGGGTTAACTGTGTTGGCGGAACTAAAGAGCTATTAAAAGACTATCACCTAGAAGTTGGGTAAACAAGAACCACATCCTATCAGCATAAAAGAAGGTTAGAACAACCTGTGAATTACTACTTCCTCCTTAGTGTTTTTCTAGTCCCTTTCCCTTCTTACAGGCTACGCATGCACAGAAGAACAAAGCGTGACTGCTGTTTTGGCCCACCGAAGGGGGCGAAGTAATACAGAAGATCAGTGCACCTGTGCCATATCCCATATCCCATAATAAATGATGCCGAGAGCTGCTGAGGGGACTCCTTCTTGAACATCAGCAGGTTCCATCTTGGATTCCAGATGCATGAGCAACCTAATTAGTATGCACTACCATTCCAAGGAGTACCCACCCCTTTCAAGAAACCCACTGAATATTCATTGCTCTATTGTCCCTACTGAACCTATCTATATAAGCCCTAGCCTTGCTTCTCCTTGAGAACCAGTCTTTTGGAGAGGCATAAGCCCTGCTGACTCCTTTTACTTGTCACAAGTAAAATAAACCTGAACCCAAAAATTGTCTCCTCTGTGTATTCTTACAAGGGAAAGACAGGACCCACTGAGTCCAGAAGGCCTCTGTGCCCTCAGCGATAACACTGGTGCCCTAGCCTCCTAGACTGTGAGAGAATAAACTTCTGTTTGTTAAAGCCAACCACTGGTAGTATTTCTGTTATAGCAGCACTAGATAACTAAGACAACAGGCAATACGCTACAGAGACTGCCTGATGACAGTTTTATTATAGCAAATGGATGCGAATCAGAATCAACCAAAGGGAAAGACACAGAGACAAAGTCTGGGATGGTCCAAAACAAGAGCTTCTACTGTCCTCTCCCCATGGAGTCAGTATGTGTCACCCTCCTGGCACATCGATGTGACGATATGCGGAATATTCCCAACCAGAGAAGCTCACCTGAACTTAGAAGTCTAGAGCTTTCACTGGAGTTTCACTACATAGGCATGATTGATTGAATCATTGATCACATGGCTGAACTCTATCTCTAGCCCCACTCCTCTCCCCGGAGGTTGGCTCAAAGCGTCCACCCTCTAATCACATGGTCCGTCTTTCTGGCATGGTCAGCCCATATCCTGAGTCATCTCATGAACATAAACTATCAGGTGTGGTCCAAAAGGCCCAGCATGAACAACAAAGACACTAAAATCAGGAAATTCCAAGAGTTTAGAGTGACCACCCAGGAATCAGTCAAATTCTTTAGTACACAGTTTCAACGGTTTTTTTGAGAGACAGATTTTGATAGAAGACACGTGAAGACATTGGACACCTGTGGGATAGGGAGGAGGCATAATAGGGAAACCAACCAAAAACCCAATGCCGTTGAGTTGATTTTGACTCATAGAGACTCCACAGGGTTTCCAAGGCTGTAAATCTCTACGGAAGCAGGCTGCCACATCCTTCTCCCTCAGAGCTGCTTGGTGGTTTCAAACCGCTGACCTTTCGGTTAGCAGTTAATCGTTTAAACCACTGTGCCACCAGGGTTCCTTTAATATGGAGAAAAAAAACCCAAACTGGTTGCTGCCAAGTTGATTCCGACTCATAGCAACCCTATAGGACAGAGTAGAACTGTCCCATAGGGTTTCCAAGGAGCAGCTGGTGGTTTCGAACTGCCGATCTTTTGGTTAGTAGCCAAATGCTTAACCAATGTGCCACCAGGGTTCCTTTAATACAGAGAAAAAAAATCCAAACCAGTTGCTGCCAAGCTGATTCCGACTCATAGCAACCCTACAGGACAGAGTAGAACTGCCCCATAGGGTTTCCAAGGAGCAGCTGGTGGATTCGAACTGCCGATCTTCTGGTTAATAGCCAAATGCTTAACCACTGTGCCACCAGGGCTCCTTTAATAGGGAGAAGGAGAAAAAGGGAGAAAATTGGGATTCCAAAGGGCATAGGCATGCAGTGACTCACGTGTTTCTGGGGTGTACACTATGTACCTGTGGTGGTGGCAGAGGTTTCCTGTTTTCTCTCTTGACACAGATTTTACAGAGTTTATTCCGTTGCTGAATAAAGTATTATTTGCACATAGTATATGATGTGCAAATAATACATTATTCTGCAATGCTAGATTATTCAGAAGGTGAGATTCTGGACTTGGCGTTGATTGAAGACTTTTGGAATGGTATGATGGGGTCAATGTGTTTTGCATGTGGGAAGGACATGAATTTTGGGGGGGCCAAAGGGTCGAATGTTATAGACTGAACTACATTCCCCAGAAATATGTGCTGTAAATCCTAACCCCTATACCTGTGGTAAGGATCCCTGGTGGTGCAATAGTTAAAAGAACTTGGCTGGTGGGTCTACAGTTTGAACCTACCAGCTGCTCCAGGGAGAAGGATGTGGCAGTCTGCTTCCGTAAAGAATTACAGCCTTAGAAACTCTATGGGGCAGCTCTACTCTGTCCTATAAGGTCACTGTGAGTCAGGTTTATACCTGTGGTCATAATCCCATTTGGAAATGGGTTTTCTTTGTTTTATTAAGAGGCCATCTCAGTGTAGGGTGTGTTTTAAGTCAATCACCTGTAAGACATAAAAAGAGCAGATGAGGACAGAGGAGAAAGTGGAGACGGGTGAAAAAAGATGCCAAGCCACATGAAGAATTCCAAGGAACAGAGGCTCAAGAGACAAGGACCTTCCTCCAGAGCTAACAGAGAGAGAAAGCCTTCCCCTAGAGCTGACACCCTGAATGCAGACATCCAGCCTCCTGAGAAAATAAATTTATGTTCATTAAAGCCACCCACTGTGGTATTTCTGTTACAGCAGCAGTAGATAACTGCCACAACTCTGTCAGTGACACACTGACTTTCCTGCCAGGAAGCAGAGGAACTATGACAACTCCCTCCTCCAACACTGATCGTGCCATGGACTACATCTGGACTCCACCTAATTCAACTCTGCCCAGGACTCTCACTCCTTGTAAGTGGAACTTTCCACAATAATCCATAACCAGCCTTAAGCTATGTAGAGGGGGAAATGGAGACTTCTTATGTTGTGATAAAATTCAGCCATCAAATCCATACAGGTGTATCTTCTAATAAGATAATAACAGCAATTAACATTTACTTGTCCATTCCTCACAGAAGTCTTTATTGAGCACCTGCTATCATGGAACTTCTATTCCAGGGGGAGGGGACAAACAATAAATGTACAAGGAAGTACGCAGGCTGCCAGGTGGTGCTAAGTGCTGTGGGGAAGAATAAAGCAGGAGAATAAGGACTGAAGTGAGGGAGCAGGAGGGAGGGTGGCTCTTAGATGGGAGTAGCAACAGTAGGCCTCTCTGAAGGATGAGATTTGAGCAGACCTGGCAGGAAGGGCAGGAGAGAGCCATGTGGCTATGTGAGGCAGAGTGTCCTAGGCCGAGGGCACGCCCAGGAGGGTGGCGAGGCTGGGGCCCAGTGAGGGAGAGGAGAACCCTGGGAGATGAAGTCAGAGAGAAGCCAGGGCCCAGGGCCCAGGGGGCCTGGGGAGCTACAGTAAGGACTTGGGCCTTTGCTCTGAATCCGATGAAAAGCCATAGAGTTTTGCTCCAAGGACTAACATGACCTAATTTATATTTTAAAAGCATCTCTCTGGTTGCTGCGTTGAGAAGAGATTGTAAAATAAGGGAAGCTGTCAAAAGCCTAGTTAGGAGGTTGTAACAATAATCCAAAAGGGATGATAGTGGCTTGGACCATGGTGGTAACAGTGTCAAAAACTGGTGAGATTCTAAATTTATTCTGAAGTCAGAGCTTACAAGATTTGCTGATGGAGTGGATGTGAGGTTTCAGAGAAAAAGTTGAGGATGATGCCTAGGCTTTTGCCTGGGTGCATGGAAGATGCAGACATTTTTTTGAGGTGAGAAAGCCTCAAAGATCAAGTGTGTGTTTATGTGTATGGGGGGGGGGGGCAGATTAGCAGGAGAGTAGAGGAACTAAAAGGAGCCCTGGTGGTGCAATGGTTAAGCACTCGGCTGCTAATCAAAAGATCAGCAGTTCAAACCCACCCGGAAGCTCCACGGGGGAAACACCTGGCAATATGCTTCCGTGAAGATTACAGCCTAGAAAACTCTATGGGGCAGTTCTACCCTGTCACGCGGGGTTGCTGTGATTTGAAATCAACTTGATGGCACACAACAACAATAACAGAGGAACTAGGCATCTGGGTTAGGGTACGTTGAGCTTAGATGGATGTCTAATGGAAATCTAAGTTATGATGTCCAGTGCACAGATGGTCTAACTGTTAGGCTAGAGGCCTAGGCTGAAGACAGAAATTTGGGATTCACCAAGGTATTGAGGGCATTTAAGGCCGTGAGACCCGATAAGATCACTCAGGGAGTGAGTAATAACAGAGAAAAGAGCTGAGAACTCAGTCCTGGGGCTCTCCAATATTAAAAGCAAGAAGAGATAAGGACGAACCAGCAAAGGAGACTAAGAAAAATAGACAGTAAAGTAAAAAGAGAACCATGAGAGGCTGCTTCCCAGATGCCGTTGAGTCAATTCTGACTCATGGAGACCTCACGTGTGCAGAGTAGAACTGCTCTATAGGGTTTTCAAGGCTGTGACCACTTGGAAGCAGATCACCAGGACTTTCTTCCAAGGCACCTCTGGGTAGGTTTGAACCGCCAACCTTTTGGTTAGTAGTTGAGCCCTTAACGGTTTGTACCACCCAAGGACTCCCTCAAGAAGGATAAGGCCTGAGAATTGACCATTGGATGTAACAATGTGGAGGTTATAGGTGGCCTTGACAAGAGCTATTTTCATAGAGTGATGGGGATAGGAGCCAGATTGGAGGGTTTTTGGAAGAAATGGGAGGAGAGAATTAGAGACCACAGGTGTAGGTGACCCTTTTGAATATTTTTATGTAGAAATAAAAAAAAAAAATACAACAAGAAAAGGGACTGTAACTGGAGGGGGACTGGGAGTCAAGAGTGGTTGTTTTATTTAAGATGGGAGATAGTACAGCATATTTGTACAGTGATGGGAATGACCCGGTAGACGGAGGAACTGATGACACAGGAGAGACAGAGACAACTGCTGGGGTGACAGCCTTGAGTAGGTGACAGTGCACAGGACCTACCACACAAGGGGAGGATAGGACAGGGACAAATCTTCCAGGAAACAGGAGGGAAAGAAGCCGGTGGACCCGGAGCATGAGCTTGTGGACGTTCTCTTCAGATTGCTCCTCTTTTCTTGATGAAAAAGGAAGCAAGGTCACCAGGTGGGAGAGGTTGAAGGAGGAGGTAACGGAGGTTTGCAGAGAAAGAAGATACAAAACAATCATCCAGGAGGGTGGGCAAGAGAGTATGGTAGGAAAATGGTGGATGAGGGATGGGCAGCACTAAGCGTCCACTTGAGACGGAAGGTCATGAATGTAAGGGGAGCCCAGCCCGCGTGGTGGTCTGTTGAGCAGCCCAGGTGCTGAGCGGTTAAGAAATAGATTTCCCAAGAGCCCATTGTGTGCCAGGTACTCATTCATCCTTATAAACTTCCCCCATGAGGTAGGTGTTATTATCTCCATTCTGCAAGTGAGGAAGCAAGAAGAGAGAGGCTAAGTGGCTTGCCCAAGGTCAAACCACAGGAAGAAGCAGAACCAGAATGCACACCAGGCAGTCCGGGCGGGACCACCACCAACGCCACACAAAGTTGTCATCTTAGTATCTGAGTGTTACTTGGCATGTTTCAACCTTTACAAGAGTTTCCGAAAGAACCCTTATTGCATGAAGTGGCTAAAAAGTTTTAACCAACACTCCAGTGTAAATATTTCAACATACTTCTTGTTTTTAAAACTGTTGACCAAATTAAAATTAATAACAGTTGTTTTCCTGCGGATTATTCAGCTGAAAGGCAATCAAAAAATAAAAATGGAGTCCACACTGAATTGCCTATAAGAATGTAGCCATTTCCCTGAAGTACTTCAACAGAACAACACATGCAAAGTTCTGTTCAACTGCATCTATTCACACATTCCAGGAAATGCTGCTGATAGCCAGAGATGATGAACAAAATCAGCTTTAGGGCTGGAAAGTAATGTAGGGGCAGCAGGATGAGGAAGAGGAATGAGAGCAAGTTAAAGGATCAAAGATGTTAAGCCTAGAAAGAAAAAGGATAAGGAATCATCTAATTCTTGGTCAGGAGGCGGACTGAGCCTGATTACTCACGTCCTGAAAATCGGAACAGAATTACAAAAGAATGTAGAAGTATTTTTTTCATAGAATTCTTGAAGATAATGACAGGTACACATCCTACCCACTGCCATCACTGAATTCATTATCGTTGTTGTTGTTAGGTGCCGGCAAATCAATTTTGACTCATAGTGACCCCATGTGACAGAGTAGAACTGTCCGATAGGGTTTTCTAGGTGTAATCTTTACAGGAGCAGATCACGAGGCCTTTCTCTCAAGGAGCCACTGGCTGGGTTCGAACTGCCAACATTTTGGTTAGCAGTGGAGTGCTTAACCGTTGTACCACCAGGCTCCTCTCATTATCATTAACTAAAACCAACCCATTGCCATCAAGTCAATTTCAACTCATAGTGACCCTATAAGACACAGTAGAAGCGCCCCATAGTGTTTCCAAGGAGTGGCTGGTGTCATTGAACTGCTCACCTTCTGGTTAGCAGCCGAGCTCTTCACCACTGTGCCACCAAGGCTCTTTCACTATCAGTAAGGGCTACATTTTCCTAGTATTCAACAAGTTCTCTTTTAAAATCCATATTTGTGTTTCATAATGATAATAACAACAATAAACAAACCAAAAACCAAACCCATGGCCATCGAGGTGATTTCAACTCATAGTGACCCTATATGACAGAATAGAACTGCCCCATAGGGTTTCCAAGGAGCAGGGGGTGGATTAGAACTGACAACCTTTTGGTTAGCAGCCGAGCTCTTAACCACTGCGCCACCAGGGCCCAACTAATAACAACAATAGTAATGGTAATAATAATAATAATGGTTACACTGACTGAGCACTCATATCTGGCAAGCACCATGCTAAGTACTTTATCTCCTAACCCCATGAAGCAGGAATTCCTAGTGCCATTTTGTAGATGAGGACTTTAGGGCTTGGAGGGATCAAGACACATGCCCTAAGCCTCAGAACTGAGCACTGAATATGGGTCTGTAGACCTCCAGGACCGGACTGGGTATGAATGGGGAGGAGGTGAGCTTTGCAACCAGACATGCTGTCTTTCTTATGTAATGCTGCTATAACAGAAATACCACAAGTGGATGGCTTTAACAAATAGAAATGTATTTTCTCACAGTTTAGGAGGCTTTCTCTCTCTGTTGACTCTGGGGGAAGGTCCTTGTCTCTTCAGCTTGTTTCCTGGTTCCTTGGAGATCTCCATGTGGCCTGCATCAACCTTCCCCCATCTTTTCTTCTTTCCCCTGCTTGTTTAATCTCTTTTATATCTCCAAAGAGATTGACTGAAAACACACCCTACACTAATCCTGTCTCATTAACATTAACAAAGACAACCCATTCCCAAATGGGATTATAACCACAGGCATAGAGGTTAGGATTCACAACACATTTTTGGGGGGGACACAACTCAATCCATAACAGATGGTCACACCTATCTCAGGAAATTATCATGAGCTTAAGCAACAGATTTGTCAGTTCAGTCAGGGAATCCTGTAGAAAAGTTGTTACTTAAACCCAAAGGCTACTTTACAAAAGGTATGCTAACATCCCTCTTATGGTTACCTATAATACAAACAGGCCCAAGCTGCTATTTTCTGCTGACGGTTTAAAAGAACAAAACAGAAAATAACTCCACCCTCTCCTGGTTAAACCAAGTGTGCCCAGCCACTCAATGCATTTGGCTGGAGATCAGAAAGGCACCCAAGACAAAAAAGGGATGCCAGGAAACAACCCCTAGTGGTTGTCACACCAGGGAGCTCTCCTTTGAAGCCTCTACCCACAGCTTTGCTTAGGTAAGATGTTTTTCTACCCAAGACAATGAATCAGTCCTCAGAGAGCTGCTATTTCAAAAGAGAGAAACAAACTACGCCCTACCTGTCTGTTAGTTTGTTCGAAGCTCTGCTTCTTACCTGGATCCACTTCAGAAGAGCAAGGAAAAGAAAAGGCTTCCAGAGAACTAAAATCCTCGCTGTTGGCCTCCTGGCAGGGTTTCTGCAGCACGTAGTCTCTTATGTCACAAGCTGACGGCAGGTCCAAAGCGTTGCTCTCCTCTAACTGGCTGCTCGGGGTGGCTTCCTGGGATGCCATGGTCCTGCCACAGTAGAAGAGAAAACAAATCAGAATAAAAGGCATTGCATAGCAGGAGGCTTCAGAGAGCTAGGGCTTAAAAGGCTGTAGTCCAAGTACCTTAAAGATCAAATGCCAGTCAAACCAGAATAACTTACTTTCCTCTATTATCCTTCTCTTTGCTTTAGACCCAGTATTTGTTTACCATGTGTTCTTCATCATGAGAAACAAATACTCTCACCACGGAAAGAAACCATGAATAGTTTCAGCTGGAAAATAAGATGCATGTCTCATGATAAGGGAAAAGTTCAATCACAGACCAATGAAATTCTGTGCCACACTATAATTCAAGAGTTACAAGAACATTCAAGGATAAGGGAAAATGTTCATGACATATTAAATGTAAAAATGTTTTAAAACAATACGTAGGTCAACAACACAACAACAAAAAGACAAACAACCCAATTAAAAAATGGGCAAAGGATGTGAACAGACACTTCACCAAAGAGGACATTCAAGTGGCCAACAAACATATGAAAAGATGGTCACAATCATTAGCCAGCAGAGAGATGCAAATCAAAACTACAATGAGATACCATCTCACCCCTGCAAAAATGGTACTGATAAAAAGCCAGAAAAAAGCAAATGCTGGTGCAGTTGTGGAGAGATTGGAACCCTTATCCACTGCTGGTGGGATTGTAAATGGTACAATCATTATGGAAAACGGTATGGTGCTTCCTCAAAAAGTTAAAAATAGAAATACGTTATGATCCAGCAATCCCACTCCTAGGTATATACCCTAGCAATCTAATAGCAATGACATGAATAGACATATGCACACCTATGTTCACTGCAGCATTATTTACAATAGCAAAAAGATGGCAACAACCTAAGTGCCCATCAGCAGGTGAATGGATAAATAAAATGTGGTACATACACACAATGGAACACTACACAGCCATAAAGAATAATGATGAGTCCTCGAAACATCATATAACGTGGATGAATCTGGAGGACATTATGCTGAGTGAAATAAGTCAATCACAAAAGGACAAATATTGTATGATAGCACTTTTATAAGAAGACAAGACAGAGAGAAGCCTAGAAAGGGGTGATGGGCAGGTCTGGGAAAGCTTTCTGGACGAGATTATCCCCAGCATAGGGCAGAGTAGGCCCAGGGGACAGCATGAGCACAGAAGACACCAGCTTGGGTTAGCACAAATGGCATGGGGTGTCAGGAGTTTAGAGCATAAGCCAAGGAATGGCCATTCACTGACTAACTGGGGAAGGACAAAAGTGGGCGGTACCCCACATTATAGAATACTATGCAGCTGTTAAAATGGCAGTCAGAACTTGAAAGATCTCAAAAACATATGTATGAGTGAAAAAAGTCGTTTCAGAACAACAGAAACAGAATAATAATAAGAGTTGTTGCTGTTGGCTGCTATCAGGTTGGCCCCTGACTCATGGCAGCCCCTTGCACAATGGAACAGATTGTTGCCCGGTCCTGCGCCATCCCCATGAGTGGTTGCAGATGTGATCATTGTGACCTATAAGGTTTTCATTGGCTGATTCTGGGAAATAGATCACCAGGCCTTTCTTCCTAGTCTTAGGGTGGAAGTTCCACTGAAACCTGTTCAGCATTATAGCAACACACAAGCCTCCACTGACAGATGGGTGGTGGCTGCACTGGAGGTGCACTGGCTGGGAATCATACCTGGGGTCTACCACATGGAAGGTGAGAATTTTACCACTGAACCAATAATAAGAGTCGTTAACATTTATTGAGTGCTTGCTGGATGCCAGATGTTGTGCTAAGAGCATCATGTGCAATAACCCTATGAGGCTGGTAATCCTATTATTATTCTCTTATTAGTCAGACCCTGATGCACAAAGAAGTAAACTAACTTGCCCAAGGTAACTGAGCTAGAAAGCAGCCGAGCTACGATGAGCCCAGCTCCCAGGCCTTCCAGCCTCCTGCATCTGCACAGGCTCAAGGCTGCGGAGGAAGAGAGCGACTGATCAGGCAAATATTGGAGCTCTATAAAAACAAGTCAACGGTGAGTCTGGGGAGATCCTTCTTATTTGAGGACACCCAGTCATGTGCTGCTGTGGACATTCCCTCAGGCAGTGAGTGTGCCAAGATATCAGCTGATTGCTCCCAAAAGGAGTGGAGTGTCCAAGGTTCCCAAAGAAGCAAGAACATCCCGTCTTTTCACACGTGCTTTATTAGCCAACCAAGCCTGAAGTTTCAGCAAACACCTTGGAGCGCCTGTGGCACCCCCTTCTCTCCTCATGTTACAAACACTCAGCTCTGGAGGCTTCTGGAAGGGAACAAGCAGGTCAATGAATGACATTGGCACACCCAGCCTGTCTTTGCTGCAAAGGTAGCTTGAAATCAACCAAATGTGTGATTAGTGATGTAAAACAAAAGGAATCCTTTTTGAAAACAAAAGCACATTGATGTGATATCGACCTTTTCTTTTGGAATCACGTACAGTAAATGCCAAAGACATTCCAAACTGGGCATGGGACCAAAAAAAGAAAAAAAGAAGGCCAAGTATCTGTGCATGCAAAATAAGATTATTTAGGACTCAGTGTATTTGTACTGGAGAAAGCAAGCAATGGGGACAGATGAGATCCTTTCTTGTGGTCTAAAACGACCTGGGCTGGCAAGTAGAAAACAACTGTCCTTTCATCTGGAAGACTACCCCAAACCTTGTGGTTCAACTTCTTTCTCCAGAAGTGCTTGATTTCCTGTCTTAAAATGACTTGAACTACACAGTCTGAATATTCTTTTTCAGTACCAGAGAGTATAAGATGCCCTGGGATTGCAGGCAAAACGGGTCTCTAAGAACATAAAAACCTGCCCACCAGGTGGAGGCAGCTATTCTTCTATGACCCTACACATGCTTACAGGCCACAGATATAAATCCATCAGGGTCACATATAAGAAATGATTTAACTTTGCTTAAACTGTTTTCAATTAAGGTACTTGCCACTCAATGTTTTGCTAGCCAATGAAAAATTTCAAACCAAAAAAAAGTAGAAAGAATTATACAACATCCATAAACTCACTACAGATTCCAGAATTAACATTTTATTATGATTTGTTTTATCACATTTCTACCCATCTATCCATCTCTCTATTCATCCATCTATCCATATACAGGATATACACACATATATATGTATATATATAATTTTTTCTATTTAAATTTTAATATAAGGAAAGTCAGTGAAAGCTTCTGAGCTGGGGTGTAATATGATCGATCTGCATTTTCAAACACTCACTCTGTTAGCTGCTTGAAACGTGAATTGAAGGAGGGTAAATGTGAAGCAGGAAGCATAGTTAGGAGGCTCTGCAGAAAAGTCCAGAGATGTGCAGAGAGTCTAGAATTGGAGAGACCCAGGTTTGGCCCCTTGCTGTCACTTTTTAGCTGTGTGACCTTGGGCAAGTCACTTAACCTCAGTTTCTTCATCTATAAAAAATGGCTTGATGACTATAGTCATCTCAAAGCGTTGTTGTAAGAATTATATGAAATTAATGCATGAGAAATAATTAGTAGTATACCTGTGATCCATAGTAGCTAGGTACAATAAGTGAAACAGTAATAATTAAAAAAAAAAAAACAAAAAAACCAACTGGTTCCTATCTTCCCAGTCTGCCTCCATCTAGTCTACTTGCCCTCTATTCTCCATCCAATAGCCATCTTGTTTTTTTTTATCCTTATCCAGTATATCCTATGGTCTGTATTCCTGTTAATGCCCTAAACTCTATTTTGTCTCTTCATCACACCCTTTTTGGCAAAACATCAGACTGGGTGAATCCAACTATTTATCCATTCTCCAGCGTGCTGGATACGCAAATCGCCGAACAGGGATGATTGATTCTAGCACCAACCTGGATGGGCTATCTGCCAGATAAATCCTGAGAGGTGTATCTCACAACTCGCTCTCTCCCCCTCCTTGACTATTTCATGTTTTATACACTCTTCCTCACCTCAGACCCTCTCCTATCACGCACATACCTTCCTTCTCTTTTTCAGTAGATCCTCTTACTTCCTGACAAAAGAGAATAGATGCCAGCTGTCTTAGCCTGGGTTTTCTATAGAAGTAAAACTAGGAAAGCATATAAATATACATATATAAAGAGATTACATCAAGGAAACGGCTCACACGATTGTAGAGGCTGGAACGTCCCAAGTCCGTGGATCAGGATAGAGGCTTCTCTCAATTCAAGCAGCTGCATGTGCTGGCGAACCCAAGACTGGCAGGTCGGAGAGCAGGGCTCCCGCTTACAGGCTGTGAAGGTCGATGAATCCCAAGATCGGCAGATAAGCTGATAGCTTAAGTCCCAAGAAACAGAGGTCAGATGAACAAGAGGCAGGTGCAGGATCCAGAGTGAGCAAAAAAGCCCAAATATCTGCTTAGATGCAGGCCACACCCCCAAGGGACCTCCCTTTCAATTGATTGGCTACTCATAGCAGATCCCATCATGGGGGTGATCACATATAAACACTGAGAATCATGACCCACTCAAGCTGACATACAATCTTAACCATCACACCAGCAAAGAGGAACTTCCTCAACTCCCCTATCAAACATGAGAAAGGCTTCCACACCTACACACCACTTAGCTTCCTGTTACAACAGGGCAGCTGTCCCTTCAACTAGAAAAACCAAATACCTCCACCTGGGCCTTAGATTCCATGCTTTGCACCTTCCCAGAAAGCTTCAGCAAGTACAATCCGTTCTCTCTCTTCTGTTCCATTGGTTCCTTCACTTAAGCTTTTACCATGCCCAAATCTCTCCCATTTTCAAGAAAACCTGGTATATAAGAAAGTATCCTTGTTCTTTGGAAATACATACTGAAATTTTTAGTGGTATAGGGACATGATGTCTGCAACATACTCTCAAATGGTTCTGAAAAACTAGATAAGTGGGAGGAGGGGCCAAGATGGCAGAGTAGTCAGATGCTTCCAGTGGACCCTCTTACAACAAAGACCAGAAAAAACAAGTGAATCGATTATATATGGCAATCTGGGAGCCCTGAACATCAAAGGCAGAGCTGAGGAACCAGACTGAGTGGCAGGGGGAGGCAGAGACAGTTTGGAAGCAGCGAGGAGTTGCCAGACCTGACCCAGCAAGAGCCTGAGCCCTTCAGGCCGGATCAGCTCGGGGGTAAGCAATGAGGGAGGCAAGCAGTGGTGCTCAGGAGGCACATTTTCCACACCAGGAGAGACTCAGCGCCAGAGAGTCTACACAGCCACCAAGAACCAGTGAGAAGCAGCCCTGGATCAGTGAAAGATAAGTAATTGTGTACAGCCTACTGCATGGATCAAAAACATCCCCCTTAGGGAAAAACCCCTCTCCCATTTACCTCCCCACTCCCTGCTCTGCACTGGGTCCCAGACCGGCTTCAGCAATTGCCGAGTCATCTGGGCTGGAAGTAGGATCCATCACACGCCCGGAGCCATTCTCCCTGCCTTGGAGAGTGAACAATCAGCAAACAGTGGGAAAAATAAACTACCGGCTCCCCTAAGCCAGGAACCCAGGGTAGGCACAGCTGCTTTGCCTAGGCACAGGCATAAGGGATCCACGGACTTTGAGCACCTTTCCCCCTGCAGAGACTTATGTGGGCCCATTTCAACAGTATAGGCCCTCATTACTGCGGTACAACAGGGTATATAACGGAAGTCTCACTTCAACTGTTTCAGCTATGAAGTGGCAGGTTCTTGACATTTGACACTGCTCTACCCATTAAGCAGGGTCTTCACCTACCCACATCAGGGGCCTGAGGACTGGTGGCTCCACCCACGCCACCTAGCCACCTGCAATAGAGGCCCAGGAATAAGAGGTGTCTCCCAGTCCTTACAGCCAACAGCATTAGGTGCTCACAGTCTGGCTGCAAAACCCACCCACCTACGCGCTCTAGGGAACAGGAACACACCTTTCTCCTGGACAATCAGGGCGGCCATCAGTCCCCTGCCTTGCTCAAAGCGTGTCCCGCTGCTGAGCCAGATGCCTGCGCCTACATCAATCATCCATGCCTGTCTAGGACTGTAAGTGAGAGCTTACACCACACACTTGGTGGCTATCTACCTGGGCACATGAGCTGAATCCATACAGGAGGAGTAGGCAGACTCTTGAGCTCACATACCCAGTAACAGATCTAACCACCTGGTGACAGGACATTAGAGCTTCAAAGGTGCCAATAATCAAAGTAGCTCACATGAGCAGCCTATTTGGGTATATCAAAACAAAACAAGAAGCTAGGACACAGTAAGCAAATGTTAAATAAATAAATATAATAACTTATTGATGGCTCGGAGACAACAGTCAATATCAAATCACATAAAGAGGCAATCCATGATGGCTTCAGCAAGCTCCCAAAATAAAGAATCTAGAAATTTTCCAGAGAAGGAAAATTTCTTGGAATTAGCAGAGGCAGAAAACAAAAGATTAATATACAGAACTCTTCAAGAAATTAGGAAGGAAATTAAGCAAAATGCAGAACACACAACAGAGGAAATTAAAAAGACTAAAGAAAGAACATAATGACAAATTTAACAGGCTGCGAGAATCCATAGAGAGACAGCAATCAGAAATCCAGAAGATTAACAATAAAATTTCAGAATTAGACAACTGAAAAACTAGGTAAGTGGAAAAACAGATACATAGACAGATAAACAGACAGACAGTGATAAAGCAAATGGTAAATGTAGAGAATTGGTGAATCCTGAAAGGGTTATTTGGGAGTTCTTACAAATTTTTTGAAAGTGAAAAATTATATCAAAATAAAAAGTTGTCAAGAAAGAATGAAAAATAAAGAAAAAAAGGAAGAAATAAAAAGAAAACCTTAGACGTCTGCCCTTCCCAGGCTAGTCTCCTCTCCCTTCCGCAAACTTCTAGAACAGCCTTCTAAATTGGCCCATTTCCTCATGTCCACCTATTGCTGTCACTCTACCATATAACCTACAGAAACTCCTTCTTCTAGCACTCTGTTCTTTTCTTTTCAGGATGCCCTCCTCCTGCTTGCCCTCCCACCTCTTTGCCTGTTCCTTCCTGCCTTCTCTCCAACTTTGTCCTCCATCTCCAACTGGACTTCCTCAAGGCTTGACCCAAGGCTGCCCACTCTTCTTTCCTCCCCTGAGACAAGTTAGTTAACCAAACCAAACCAGCTGTTGTTAAGGCAATTCCAGCTCATGGTGACTCCAAGTGTGGCAGAGAAGAACTGCACTCCATAGGGTTTTCAATGGCAGAATTTTTTCATAAGTAGATGGCCAGGGCTTTCCTGTGAGGAAATTCTAGACGGATTCAAACCTCCAACCTTTCTTTTAGCAGCAAACACGTTGTTTGATCCACCGAAGGACTCTGAGATGTTAATTACCTCCTAGAAATTTCTCTCTAGCCCAGATCCCCAACATCAATTTGCACCTCAGGCCCCCTTGCTTTCCCTGCTTCAGGCATAATGGTCTTCCTTCAGTTTCTCCAACAAACTCTGCTTCCTCCCACTGTACTTGTTGTTCCCTCCTCCAGCAGTGTACATCCCTCTCCTGGATAACTCTTCGAAAAAACAGAAGAGGAAACATTTTCCAACTCATTCTATGAGGCCAGCATTACCCTCATACCAAAGCCAGACAAAGACACCACAAGAAATCTACAGACTAATACCTGTTGTGAATACAGACACAAAAATCCTCCAAAGAATACTAGCAAACTGAATCCAGCAACACATAAAAAGGATTGTACAACATGACAAAGCAGGATTTATCCCAGGAAGGCAAGTTGTTTCAAAATCTGAAAAATCAATCAATGTAATGTATTATATTAATAGATTAAAAAACAAAAACTACATGACGCAATATGTAACACTATATATTAATAGACTAAAGGACAAAAGCCACAGTAGATGGGGCGGGGGGGAAGGAAGCATTTGACAAAGTCAAGCATCCTTTCATAGTCAAAACACTCAACAAACCAGGAATAGAAGGGAACTTAATCAACCTCAAAAAGCAACGCATACACAAACCTACAGCCAACATCATACTTCATGGTGAAAGCCTGAATGTTCCCTAAGATCAGGAATAAGACAAGGACATCTGTTCTCATCACTTATATTCATCACTGTACTGGACGCTCCAGCCAGGGAATTAGGCAAGAAAATGAAATGAAAGGCACCCAGATTAGAGAGAAGTAAAACTACTTCTATTTGTATATGACATGATCTGGAATATAGAAAATTCTAAAAAATCCACTAAAAATACTAGTAGAACTAATAAACGAGTTCAGCAAGGTTGCAGGATATAAGATCAATATATAGAAATCAATTGTATATGTAAATACACAAGTAATGAACAATCTGAAAATAAAAGAAATCAATTCCATATGGAATAGCGTCAAAGAGAATAAAATACTTAGGGATAAATTTAACAAAAGTGCAAGACTTGTACATTGAAAACCACAAAACATTACTGAAAGAAATTAAAGAAGCTCTAAACAAATGGAAAGATAGCTCATGCTCACGGATTAGAAGATTTAATATTATTAATATTCTCCAACTCGATCTACAGATCAATGCAACCCTTATCAAAATCCCACTTGGTTTTTTTTACAGATATTAAGAAGCT